CGTCAAATCAAATGGCGTACTAAAATAATGTAGTTATTTTTAAAACCCTATAGAATGGAAACCACAGTAATTAATTTGGTGATTCCTTGACATGATGAACAATATATTTTTATATGTTTAAATTGAACAGAACTGTATATATTATTAGATTTCGGATGCAAGTTAATCAGATTTGAACGGGTCTAATACGCCGTACGTTGAAAATAAAGTACAACAATTACCTCTGATAAGCATTGTAAATGTTCACATAGGGACGTAATATTTATCCAGTATGTTTCTTATATATACATACAAGGGAATAAGATTTGATTACATATTGAATATTTGATTTGTTCACTGTCTAACGACTTTGGTGACGTCAAGTGTTCCAAACAATAAGACATTCTTTATATAGCTGTATAAAAACATGACTGGAGATTAGCTGTGAAGTTATTACCAACAGATCTTCTACATTTGTTTAACGACTCTATGTAATCAGTCAAAACATCCAATTGATACAGGTTTTGTTTTCAAACAACACTCGTGGGTACAATGGCCTCTGATCACTCTTGATTAGAATACATTTCGCCACGCCATTTCTATGTCCCATGTTTATAACGGATTGGGATAGTTGTTTTATATATCTGTACTAAATTGTGACCTTCAAACCAGATGTTCATTCATTAGATATGTAACAAATCTGATTGGTCAATGGAAATATTTTGCGGTAGGTTATGATAATAATCCGAAAAGTTATCATTTGTAGTGGATGTAAACATCAGAATGCGATGATGATTAGTGATGTCAATAAATGGCTACGATACCTCATGACAATGATGCCTTGAACATCAGCATGTTATCAAGAAATCAGTAACATTTCGATATATATGAAATCGGGTTATGAATCCTATGACGAGTAACACTAAGATTTCTGTTTCTTTAAACTATTCTGTGTTTAGACATTTGAGTTGGTATATCATAATTCTGCTGACGCAAAAATCCGTTTTACTCTCAACTCCAGGTAAATCACTCGCATAATGATTTGTTATCAAAGTATATAATAATTAACAATCTTAGATATTTCTCTACAGACGTCATTTCAGAACATTAAGTCTTTTTAAAAATCTAATTGTTGAAGTCGAAATAATGTCAAAACATAAGATGATTTGTATGTTAGTCTCAAACAATTATGGCGACATCAATATCTTATACAGCGTTCAAGAACAATGTACAAGACTAAAATATATAATTGTGGTAAATATGAATAATAAGACTACAGAATGACATATGTTTGTCGCATTTGTTGTTCCGTTGGCTATTGATGTCATTTGACATGGCTTAACGTCAAATAACGTCAACAAATTGAAGTCAATCTTTCTTGTACAACCAATGATTGACTTCTATTGTACTCTATTAGGACTGCCTGAACTAGTCAGCGATTTCAGAGCGTTTTACATGCCTCAAACTGAGAGTTATTGGGGAAACTAAAATGATGCATATTCTGAAAGTACAAAACAACACCTGAAATAACAAACACTATATGGACTTGTCTATATTTACTTGACCTCCCGGATCCCCTTTGTTTTAGATAGTGCATGCTATACGTGGCCTAACAATAATAAAGCTAAGTGAATATCACTTGTCATAGCCAATTGTGTAAACACACAGCTCACACAACTAATTTAATTGAAGCACGGTCCTACTTGCACAAAATTGCATTGGTTGTTGGGCGTGCATGTCTTATACGCACACAGAGGCGGCCAAGACTGAGTGGAGATTATTTGAAAATGAAACTTTGATTACACATCCCAGTTTTCAATCAACTTATACTTAACTTGAGACTTTAAAAATGTGTTATTTTCTATGTCTGTTGAAAAATTGTCCTCCATTCAAACGTTGGTGTAAATGAAAAACGATAATAAAAAAATATTCCTTCTATCCAATATGATGTGTATTTTAAAGTCAATGTTACACGTGTCTATTTCTATACGACGTCTTACAATATACATTTCTTTTATTTCAAAGTACCAATGACTTTTTATATAATGTAATATAATGTAATACACAGTTTATATACAAAACACATTACTGTAATTCCATACGCTTAACTGACTCTTCTCAGTTTATAATATTGGCGATGTTTGTGCTTACATTACAAATTAATCACATAACAAGTAAACCGCTATCTGCATTTTTGCAGTGAAATATTCGGTTTTAATGTAAAAATGTAACTGATATTTTTGACCTCATATCTCAGCATTGGCAGCGCAAATATCAATTCTTAGCCTTGTGGAATGGCAATTTTGGTGCGGATAATACTATGAAATGGATGGGAATTTTATTTTAACACTATATCCAGATCAATCTGGATCCATTCATTATAGTGTTTCATGCGTTGTTTACATTAGATTATTTTGTGTATAATATATAGAACAACCATAAGGCTTCGGGAGTAATCTTCATAGTACAGCATATAAATTGAGCATGCAAACGAATTAAAACTGACATTAGTCAATCACATTGTAAGGGTGTGAAAGAATGTTATCATTGAATATTCCTTGTTACCTGATGAATAACAGTAATTATTTGATCTCATGGGTTGAAAATATGTCAAAATGTCAACCCTACTCGATGAAATATAGCACTAATGCACTGCGAAGATCTTTTTGTTTATCGTGTATATCACCATGTTCGTCCGCATACAAATCGTAACTTGTAGAATTATTACAATGTGTGACAAAGGAAAGGACTGGGTTTTTCCAGCGGGTCAGCAGTTTTCAATGACAACCCAAACCCACAAATGTATGTGATGCCAAAATAATGTCAGGTTTTTAAAGTGAGAATCAGGTCAACTGTAAAGAAACCACGCTAGCAATATTATTAAGGTGACTTTAAAAATACGACGAATACTTAAACAATGCATAAAATCCTTAGCTTTAATCAGTTCCTAGAATCTGCATAAAAATCCTTTTAATACAGTACATTCAAGTGAAGTAAATACGGCCTTATTTCGAAGTGACAAAGCCGTAAATGTCACCTTTAGTAGATAAGCATGTCGATGAGAATCAACAAGTCGAAGTAAATTTCATACTTGTGATTGACAACAACACCATAAACGGCAAGTCATAACTTTGACATATGTTTCATCAGTAAAAATCGCGGAAGTTGTAACATTGGACATTGACAATAAAATAATGCCAATATATGCATTATCTTAACGTTGGTAATGAATTGTTCACAAAAGGAACAATAAAATCACGACCGTTTATCCCATCATGCAGCTGAGTGACAATGGTGAAGCAACACCTTTATCTCATCATGCTGCTGAGTGACAATGGTGAAGTACACCCTTTGTCTCACTGTGCAGCTGAGTGACAATGGTGAAGCACCACATTTCTCTCATTATTCTGCTGAGTGACAATGGTGAAGCACGCCCTTTGTCTCATCATGCAACTGAGTGCCAATGGTGAAGCACCACCTTTATCTCATCATGCAGCTGAGTGACAATGGTGAAGCACCAAATTTATCTCATCATGCTGCTGAGTGACAATGGTGAAGCCCTTTGTCTCATCATGCTGCTGAGTGACAATGGTGAAGCATCATCTTAATCTCATCATGATGGAGAAACAAGACCTTTATCTAATCGTGCTGCTGAGTGACAATGATGAAAAAAGACCTTTATTTCATCATGCTGCTGAGTGACAATGGTGAAGCACCACCTTTGTCTCATCATGCAACTGAGTGCCAATGGTGAAGCACCACCTTTATCTCATCATGCTGCTGAGTGACAATGGTGAAGCCCTTTGTCTCATCATGCTGCTGAGTGACAATGGTGAAGCATCATCTTAATCTCATCATGATGGAGAAACAAGACCTTTATCTAATCGTGCTGCTGAGTGACAATGGTGAAACAAGACCTTTATTTCATCATGCTGCTGAGTGACAATGGTGAAGCACCATCTTTATCTCATCATGCTACTGAGTGACAATGGTGAAGCATCATCTTAATCTCATCATTCTACTGAGTGACAATGGTGAAGCACCATCTTTATCTCATCATGCTACTGAGTGACAATGGTGAAGCACCACCTTTATCTCATCATTCTACTGAGTGACAATGGTGAAGCACCATCTTTATCTCATCATGCTACTGAGTAACAATGGTGAAGCACCACCTTTATCTCATCATTCTACTGAGTGACAATGGTGAAGCACCACCTTTATCTCATCATGCTACTGAGTAACAATGGTGAAGCACACCCTTTGTCTCATCATGCAGCTGAGTGATAATGGTGAAGCACCAAATTTATCTCATCATGCAGCTGAGTGACAATGGAGAAGCACAACCTTTATCTCATCATGCTGCTGAGTGACAATGGTGTCGAGACCAAGATCCAGGTATGACGATGTAGTGAAACAGATGATGGTGATTTAGATTTTTGTATTTTGTATTTGTGCAGTAAATATTAATGATTTATATTATTTTTTTTCTGTTAAAGTAAGCGTAGAATTGACTTTGATGTTATAATTGTTAGAATGCATCAAACAATAAAAAATATGACTTTCAGTGTGAAGAGAAAACGTCCATCGTTATAATAATTCAGTTGTCTTAATTTGTCAATTGTGTGCTGAATAATGTTATCACAGTATAAAAGATGCAACTCAGGAATTCAGTCATCTTTATCGTTTCACTACAAGCTAACGTTCCTGAACACACCTTAATCAATATACTAGCTAGAATACCATGTCTTAAACCTTGTTGTGACGTAACGTAGGAAAGGAAACTTAAGGGTTGATAAATCATGTTAAAATTAAAAAAAAAGAAATTCAGCATGGTAAATGATGTGAATATAATCAGGTTACTTTCAGACCATAAAGTTAATGCTCCGTGCTCCTGGATGTCATCATTTTATTTAAATCACCATTAATTCAATGGTTTACGAGTGTTGTAGTATGGGGGAATTGTTTCGATCATTTAAAGAAGAACTTTGTGAATCATTTATTTGAGTGTACATTATCATTCACCAGTTTCTATCAAGTCTTAGATGCAAATAAGATAAGTGATATGAACTTACCTCAATAGCAGAGCTTATTAAATATTCAGCTTTTTCCTTCATAGACTGACAGACATCCATTGACCGTTTTCCCCATCCGGGTGCTCTTTTTCCCCATCCAGGCCTCCGTGTTTCTACTTCAATATTGTCCGAACGTTTTCCCCATCCTGGTCGCCTTTTGTCATATACGGAATATTCTCCGTCATCAATAAAGTTCCTTTTACCCCAGCCTGGTGCCCGTATCTCCATGTCAAGTGCTTCGGAATCCCTTTTGCCCCAGCCAGGTCTCCTTTTGTATAAATCAGAAATGTCCGATAGCGTTCTCTTTCCCCAACCGGGTCTCCTTTTCAGCATTGAGATCCGGTCCAGAATGTCACTACGTTTGCCCCATCCAGGGCGACGTTTTTCTAAAGAACTGTCTAATAAATCTGTAGAATCTCGTTTACCCCAGCCTGGCCGACGTTTGTCCGGTTCATCGAACTCTTCAAGTGTGTTTTCGTCCGATTGAACATCTCGTTTTCCCCAACCCGGCCTGCGCTTGTCCATCATATCGGTATTACTGGATACGGATAATACATTGAATGTCAAAATAAAACTTATTATTCCTACTGTTAATGTATCCATGACTTTTGTTTTTCTGCGCGTCGTTCCACTTTCCAGAGTATATATAGCCTACTCTCGCCGTGTTTGCGTGATCCTGATGAAACCGACTTTACCGGTGCCTTATATAGCACGCAAGTTACGTAGCAAGCTTGTACGGAGACCATTCATATAATAAAGCGTAGTAAAACAGCTAAAGTCACATGACACGGTAAGATAAGTGTAGTTTCTGGAACCAATCAAATCAATTGTCATATAAGACACAAGAATAGCCAATCGGAGACACTTTCACTGGAAGAGTAAGACATAGAAGGCGTTTTCAAACTCTCTGAGAGTAGCGATCAAACCCAATCATACACCCACAATGTAGCGGGATAACGTGCTGTTATTGAATAGTGCCGTTATCACCGTGGTCACTTCAACAAATCTCAAGCAATTTTATCCACTGCCTCGCACTCGCACAACGCTCTGATTAAATCAGAGCCATTAGTTGTAGGAGTAGTATACTCGTAATGTTGGTACAAAGTAGTACAGCACGCATATTGAAGTACGGTGTACTATTCTTTGTCTATTTCGTTTCGGCAGACAAGCTATAGATTCCATTTTTCACCACAAGCTACAAGTATATATACGGTATCACAGTATCATATAGTTATCCAGCGAGTAGATCTAGCTTACATAATCTCTCCGAGTGTTATAAAAATAAATTAGCATTATGGTCCAATCCAATGGAGGCATGATACACAAATACATATTTTCATTAATTTTACTTTCTGATGTTTAGAATTACAATAATAAAACATGCTGTTAAGCTGATGTCCGCTTTTTCATAGAAGCACCTACATTATGTATTTTTAACAACATCATCAGAAAGAGAACTGTTGTTCAAATCAACCTGCTTATATGATCCGTGTTATTGTGGTTTTATGAAGTACTTGGTTGAAGTTCACGAATTTCATACTTAGATTTCCCTAGTTTCGTTTTATTTTGGAACCGATCAGAAAAAAATGTCCTCTGGCCTACCTCTTGCATTTTGGAAATGAAAACTGTGTCGCTTTTGTTTTGTTTGAAATAATGGATACATTTTCTTAGCCTTCAAAAATTCAGTTTACCTTGGTTCCTAGTTGTGTCGTTTTGATTTTGTTACCGTTCAAAAAAGCAAAGTGGCTGAGAGATAGCCATCATTGATTTTACAACGAAAAAATGTTACCTTTCTTGCTTCAGAAATTCCAAGGGTCCTTTCTAAATTTTCGTATGTATATTTCTCTTGGTAAATAGTTACACTCGTTCGATTTCGAGGCGGAGGAAAATAGTGGTTGGCAGGCAGACATCGAATATTTTTGAGAAGTGTGTATGTAATTTTATTTCACATGAATATTTTATCAAACCCAAATGAATGATGACCCCGTGACAGTCATCAATGACAGGTTTAATCATCGCAAAATGAAGGCATAATTCAGATAAAAGTGGTGAACTGTAACGAGGTGGAGTTCCCAGCTGTTATTTTTATATACATATGTATATTTGTTTTTCTTTCTTTATCTCAATTTTTTTATTTATAAAACTGATGAATCATCGTGTACCAAATATCGATTTTTACCTCAGGGCTTTATATTCATGTACGTTTTTAAAAATGTTCCACCCGACCAGTGCATCATGTGTCACAGGATCCCAATAATATATGGTTATATCGCAATACTTATTACCAGATTACTCATTGAGTAATTAAAGAAGTATCGCTGACCGTAGCGACTATACAACAATTGATCCGAGTACATCGTGACTAAATTAGATGATCTGACCGGACGTTGTACTAGGTTAACTTGTCAAAACATAGGCTATTTGACAGTTAATACCGTCTGGAGTTATATCTCTCTGTGATAAACATTTCAGTGATGTCCTACAGTATTACTGGTGAAAAGTTCAGTTTGATGAATATCATTATTACCAAATCTTTTAAACTTGATATTTATTGTGTAACAGGATCAAACTTATTTAATACTCTTGGATATACAATATTTATTTGTCGTTTAGTACAAAACACTGAATTGGTTGGGTTTTTTATTAAATACTTGTATATTTTTCGTAAAACTCGCGTTACGTTTTGCCTGTTAATGTATACCGGTACGTATACCAGGTATAGCGCAAGTATGTTTCTTTGTTTGTATTTTGCATGTATGTGTGCTGCACGTGAGTTGTGGTCAGCTACCGACTGGTGACACTTCACGGACTTGAACGGCAGAATTAATTTCTCAGTAAGACTGTCTCTGTATATTTGTGGGTAAGTTTAATACTTTTTCTATTTCTAATTGATTCCCTTGTTTATCCCTTCTGGTTGAATGACTTACTGTGCAAGTGATACATTAATAAATTATTTTTAAAATGTAATTGAACAAGATATCGCGATCATTGTTTCATGTATATGTGTTCGGTAATGTTTATTGTGATATTTCTTGCACACGTACACAATTCCCGTTAATGCTGTAAAGTGCTTAAATTACGCGGTGTCAAAATTTTCTCGTTTGTACCAGGAACTTGTTTTCGCGGGGTCCAAATAGGAGGTACCGGTTCTTTGGTAAACGTACGCACGCTGACCCGTGAACACAATTTCGCCGGAGTTTTGAAATTCGCGCACCCTCTCTCACTCACACACATACATCCATCACACTCACACACACCCTCACACACACACACACACGCGTGCACGCATATATACACATGTTCAAGCGCACAGACATACGTGACAACTCACGCACACACTGACGTATACACCTGCGAATGTGTACGTTTACAAACGCACAGACACACCACCGCCACCACACGCACACACCTCAAGAACATGTACGCACACACACTCACGCACCCACCCTCACACATCATCACACACACCATCACACGCACGTTTACACACACAGGCAAATACGATACTATTAGGTTTTACAATATATACATATAGACACAGATATATACATAATTAACACATATGTATGTACAAATAGCACTCACGTGCAAACCACTTTAATATAATTGTATACACATGCACTTATACAAATTTATCCGCTTGCTCATCTAAACATCACTGTCCATCCGTGCGTGAATGCGCACGTATTCACACAATCATGCACGCTCATAGTGCACAAACATGTACAAAGCAGATATAACAGTTGCTCGTATGTTTCTAGATGTCAGTATATTGTTATGTTTACAATTATAACAAATCCGTATACACTTTTGTGTATTCTGTTTCAACTTACACACAACACGATTCATATCAAGTTGGTAAATGTACATAGTTGCAAAACATTGTTTCATTTATAATAGACACATTGAGCATGAAAATATGTACATGCATAAGTTTTGTACAAGTTTACGATAAATGATCTACCGTGAGGACAGTAGAACAGTGAAACTGACACAGAACTTTCAGGAACATTGACGGCTGTATCAATGATAGAAAACAATGATGATTACAAGAGTAAGTACGCAGGAACATGTACACAGATCTCAAGCATGTAACTAAAGTATATGATTTAGTACAATCGAAACTCACTAAGGTAAAATGTCAATGTTGTGAGTTTCAATTGATTTAAGTATTTCATTCAAACATTTTTAACATACTATATATGTCATCGTTTATAGGTGCGTACATACAACTTCTATGAAAAAAAAACCCAATATCTATTAAACAGAGTATGGATGATCAATGTCATCAACGGAAGTTGATGTTCACTCTAGGCGGGATACGTCGTCATTGGTTTTGATCAGAATTTTCGCATCGTTACCATGTACTTTTGCGAAGATACGCCCATCTGTGGTCCAGAATGAACTGATTTTGCCGGTTTTAAGGAGGATGTTCAGCCGGTTCACGAGACTTTGTCTTTTGTTTGTAACACTTTCGGTAATGAAAATGCTGTCTTTATTACCTTTCAAATTTTTTTTGTTTGAGTAGACTCGTTGCCGGCAAGAATAACGGACGAAACGGGCTATGATAGTACATCTACCATTCCTGGATTTCCCGATGATGTGAGTACGGGACAGATCATCGGGGAGGACTTTGGCATGAATTCCACTGTTACATATGTCCAATACAGCTTTGGTCGAGTCAAACCAGTCCTCGGGGAGGGGTACATTAACAAATTTCAGACACGTTCTTCGTGAATATTTTTCTTGCTCATCAATTGCATCTTTGGAGACCGAGTCTGATACTTGGAGATCTGTAATTCGTTTTTCGAGCTCGTAAATTTTGTGTTGGAGTGGTTTGACTATGTGTTCAACTTTGTTGTTGACCATACTATTAAAAAGTACATCATCTTTTAACCTGTTGTCAATAACCTGTTGTATCTGTGGTACTATTTGCTCCATTATGGTAGTCTGTAGTGCATTTGATACAAGGGCTGCCACTGGTTGGACAATTGCGCTTATCATTTGGTTCATAAAAAGTTTGGTTGGACAGTATATTGGAAAGATCCACGGTAACCCCCGAACCTACACTGGTTTGGAGTCTCGGCATAGTTGGTAGTTGGGGGATTGAGTAAGCAACAGAAGGACCGGTTAGGACTTTTTTGGGGGCATGCAGGGAATCAGTTACACTAGGCGATTCAGGACTGCAGAAAGTTTTACGTTTGTCAGAAACATTCACAATAGGTGATGCATACTGTTCAGCCTGTTCTTTAGTGAAGGGACACGAGTTTGTTGTCGATGTTCCACCTGGCTGACCACTATTACTTGATATTACCTGTTGTACCTGTTGTACATGTACCTGGTGACCACTGTCCGTGGAATATAGAGTAGCCATTGTACGTGAAAGGTGAAGACACAAACACAAATAACACTCCAAAAAGTCAATGTAAATAACACTCCAAAAAGTCAATGTAGGATGGAAACACACAGATAGTTCGTATCAATGGTACATACACTAATGTATGGCAAAGTTTGGTTATCGATCTCAACACAGAAATTGATCAAATGGTATACAGTTCTCACAGCTCACATTACACAACCTGTCCTTAGCTCATCACGTGACG